AGCATTACTCGTTAGATCAGTTTCCAGCAGGGCTAGCAGTCTCATTTTGTGACATTTTCCAATTTTCCTAGAGATTTTTTGGAGAAACCTGAGGAGACAGCAACGAAATCCCTTCACTCTCCTACACTACGCTTATTTCTGTTTGGTTTTTTTTAAGATCTGGTTTTTTGCTTTTACGTGTGAGCCTTTGAAAGTGAGATGTGCACTGTTAGATTCCTCATGAAAAGTACTATCGAATGATAAGTTACACTGCGCGTACGTTTGTTTCACCGTTTCAAGCATTCTGCCTATTGGCGGCCACGTGAGATTCACCTGCTCGGTGCGTGACGCCGCTCCCACACTCGCGCAACAGCCATAGCAACGTATCGATCGGACTGCCGGCCAAAGGCCATCGGCCGTCATTCGATAGTTCTTCTCATGGGGAATCTAACAGTTCACATCTCACTTTCAAGGGCTCACACGGAAAAGCAAAAAACCAGATCTTTCTACAAGTGTATGACGAGGAGTGATGTTTGGGGCCAGTCCATGGGAACAGCGCTCACCCGCGACCAAGAACGTCATATATTCCCTACAGGCAAGTAAGCGTAGTGTAGAAGAGTGAAGAGACTTCGTCGCTATCTCCACAGGTTTCTCCAAGAGATCTCTAGGAAAATTGCAAAATGTCGCAAAATGAGACCGCTAGTCCTGCTAAAAACTGATCTAAGATTCTCGTTTGAACTCAAGGTAATGGGATTTTCTGCGCAGAGGCTACACGTCCCACAATTCAGTCTCTTGAAATGAAATAGAAATCATGGAGCTTGAAAAAAAAGTTTAATTTTATCTTGCAATCTAGTGCACAAAGTCGAGTACGTGGCGCATTCTGGGACAATGCCCCGAACTCATCCTTCTATGAAACGATCAGGCTCCACCAGTGTGATTAGGTACGCGTCACATCCAATTACTTATTTCATGGAGTGAAACTCGCGTGCATGGCGCAATTAGATGTAATGCTGTTCCATAGTTTCTAACATATTCTTATAGAGCTCAACGAGCTGAGTTCAAAGATATCTTCTGATTTTCGAAAGCTCAATTTTGAACCGAGTTATAAAGAATTCACGACATTCGGAATGGCGGGATTCGGGATTTCGATTTCAAACGGCGAGTACTATACAGGGTGGTCCAGAATTATGAGGACCGTGTGCGCGCTAGGTCATATCCACTTTTTTCCGACTCGCATTTTTATCTCCTTTTCTGTGCACTATGTGAGAGGGTACAATGTCTTCTTCCTACTGAAAGGAAATATCATGCACTTCTCGGAACTAGTGAAATAACTGCATCACCTTACGTCAGTCCTCAATTGAACTCACTAGGGGCCGGGCACGTTGCATTCAGCAGCAATCTAATCTATCAGAGAAGCTCTTATGAGTGACAGTTCAACTCTTCAATATGTTTGGAATCACCACAGATGAAAATTTGGGAACTCGGAAGACAGTTACCACCAGGATAATTATCAGATGCAGAAACCAGCTCTCCCCTTGTCGACTTTCGTACTCCCAAAATGAAAAAAAAACGATGTGAAAACCCAGCCAGACACTCTAAAGGCTCCACATTCGTAGTGGATAGAAAGCTTTTTGAGTAAAATACTTGGAACTTTTCACAGGACCAAGCACCTAAGAATAGAACGAACATCCCCTGAAAGCCGAATTTTCGAGTTCCTTGCTCTTGAAGAATTGTTACATAGGAACCTTTTATCATACATCACTAGACTTCTGTATTTTACACCCTGGAGGCAATGCAAATAAATGTCCCACGAAACTTCGATCCGCTGAAGAAAGCAGAGCAGAGGGCCTGGAAACATTTTGAGACGCCTTATGGTTAGTTGCGTGTCAGCGCACGCGCCATCCCCCTTCATCTGAAGGCTCGCGTTTACGCGGCAAGTGGCAGATCTAGATTCTATTCTGGATTTACTTTGAGGTAAGAGTTGCAAACACTACCCTGAAGTTTGTTTGTCCCATCAGCAACTAGGTGTTTTAACGACACAATGTCTTGGTCCTCATAATTTTGGCCCAACCTGTGCATGAAAAAATTAACGATTCGGAGTAATGGTTAAACAAAATAGAATCGCAAAATTGAAGGTCCGACCAATGACTGGTGGATCCTGCGATGAAACCCTGATGGGAACGACATCCCCTCCCCAACAACATCATACGAACCTTGATTTGTTCGCGCAGGTTTTTGTTCTGCTTCAGAAGAGAGTCTATGAAGAAAGTACTTCTCGTGGACGCTAGTTTAGTCCATTCGCGACCGCCGGGATTTTCGCTGCCTGCCTGTTCGGACCAGCCCTGGCAGAAGCGATTGCGCAATAGCAGCCACCGGTGACTGCCGTTGTCCGAGTGGACATCCACCTTCTCCTGGTTCTTTCACACAGTCTTCCGCTCATTTCGCTACTTCTCCCGTGGTCACGAATATGAGATCCATTTTTGGCGATGATGCCAAATTGGAGCCAGATGGCGCCCGGAGTGAATTTCATCAAATTCTCTGTAAACTTGTAGATAGGGGTTATTTGTGGCTCTAATTACAAACATGACATCTATTTTTCCGATAGCTACAATTTAGGCCACTTTAAATCCGAGAGCAATGTAGTTATTGTAGTCTCTATGATGTATATGATACCTTATTGACTCCGGCGCTATCTGGAGCGGTTTGGAAGCTCCAAGTTGAATGCAAAAATTTCGTCATCACGAGGGATTGAAACTTGGTCTACTCCCTCAACATTTTTTGGCCTTCGTGAGGCCGTTCAGCGTAAATATACATCGGTTTTGTGGTGCACAGATGAGCTCCTATAGAGTGCAGAAAAACGTTTTGAAGGTGCTTTCCACATCATGAACGACCTCCCTTGCTAGTCCTGATTGCGATCCTATAGTGAGACGGCGCGAGCAGGAATCAGGCGCCAAATAGCGCCAACGACTAAAAGAATGTCGTAATCATGGCCTCAAATAACCTCTGTATACAGTTTACAGAATTTGATGAAATCAAGTCAGGGCGCCATCTGGCAATAATTTGGCGCCAATTTGGCTCAAAATGGATCTCATATTCGTGATCAGGGTCCTCGATAACCTTCAAACTTAGTTGAGGAGGACCACGCGGCGGTTGAAATTGTTTCGCTGGGAGGAGCTCCAGCGAAAACGCGAATGGGGGCACGCGATGGCGCGGCGCTCTGTTCCTCTGCTCCTCCAGGGCTTAGTCCACCGGGACAGGTAGTCTTTCGCTATCATGTGGCAAAATACGCGCCATTGGTGAGTAAGCCTTGGTAAAGCAGACGAAAACAGTGCCGCGCCATGGAGTGCCCCCCCGAACCCGAGTTTCACCGAATTTTGGTGAAAAGATTTTGTCTGCCCAGGGCGGCGCTGATAGATGAGGGTGTAAAGATTCTTCACAGTAAAGGAAATTTGGTGCTAACTTAGTTGGGGGTGGGCCACGCGGCGGCGCGGCGCTCTGTTCGTCTGCTCCTCTGGGGCTTAGTTCAAGGGGCAGTTACTATTTCGTCGCGACGTGGCAGTATCGAAATACGCGCCATCGGCGATTTTCCCACGGCTTCCTATTGTTTCCAAAAATTCCATTTGAAGCCCATCTGCCGCCCAGCCACCTGTGGATACCAAGGTCTCAAACGGATTAATGAGTGTGCTCAATTTTCTCAATTTACTACACTAGAAAAAAAAGGACATATCTGCCCAAAAGGAGTCACACCTTTTAAGTGCTGACAGCTGGAGAGCTGCTCTGAGTCAGGGTCAACCGTCCGTTCGAACTGTACTGAAGGGGTCGCATTTTGGTCGGAAGGGGGTCGCAATTTCGAGGACTGCCAGCCACAGGCGCGTGCGTGGCGTATCCGAGGGCAAGAATCGTTTGTGCAGACGCATTAGATTCGATTAATTGTGCGCAGAGAGAGAGTTTTAGACAAATTACGGTGTTTTCCTTGAGGAATAGAGAACAGTTGAATGCATCCCTATGAAAGGTTTGACTTCTCGGGGCTGAAATTAAAGTTCTTCGGGACCTGATTTTCTGAGGACGATTCTTCCAGACAACGGTAAAACACATAAGAAAGCAGAAATCTCGTAGTCTTCAAAAATGTCTTCGCTCCTCCCCAACAAGCTCTTTGAAGGAGGTTATCAATGCTGAAAGCTCCAAAACTCGCATGTGCTGCTCAAAAAGCTATGGGAACAAAATGTTCGAACGTGTGATTTTCTCGAAACATAAACTTTGAAAAACGGTTCGGTGCTTGTCAGAAAGAGCAAGTCCTGGGCTTTCACCCCATGAAAAATGTCCATCACAGAAATGAAAATTAAGTGAGTTATGGTCGCTAAAAGCCCAAAAACTCGCTTTTGCACAAAAAATGTTCGAACGGGACAATTTTTTGAAAAAAGGGACAGTCACTAAACTTTTCATACTATTTTGTTAGAGAGATATTTGAAGTTTCTGAAACTTTTTACAGATTTCCAAAATGTCGCATACGAACGATTTTATGGACCTTCAAAGTTTAAGGTGCGCCTTCTTAGAAATTTGGGTTTTCCACTTCTAACAGAAGTACTTTCCGGAGAGTTAGGCAATCCTTGTAGTTTTCTGGAAGCGCTCCTCAGGCACAATCAAAATCTTCCACAACAAATCAAAAAATACGTCCCAAGAAAGTTATTCCCCTCTAAAATTTTTTCTTCGCAGCGTCCCGTTCTTCCAGCGCCCGGGTGATACCTGCCGCACTCCAAGGCCGACGCGATGACGCGCAGACGCTTTCTGGCGCAACGGTTTCATGTCTAGCACTCTTATTAAAAAAAGGGGGGTCGCAACTGGCCCCCCTCGAGAGCTAAGGGGTTGCAAAAATCCTGAAAATGTTCGAACGTGACGGTTGACCCTGCTCTGAGTGCGGGACAGCGACGACGCCAGCTATTCGATAGCCTACAATTGACTATCGAAGGCGAGCTTCGAAATAAAAGTGGGTAGGGGCGTTATGATGAAGTTGAGCATGATCAGTGGCAGTGATCTGAAAACGAAAAAAAAATCAAGGAATCGTTCGATTCCCCAAACGCATCCCCCTCTTCCAGCTCCATTCCTCCTTGGTATTTAGAAGAATGGGGTCTAGATGAACGGATAACTAAAGTTGCCCCAGAGCCACTTCTTGACTCTAGGCCAGGAATCGATACTGACAGAACTTTGGCGCGAACGGATGATTCTCTCTTTTTTTTTCTAAATTCCCATTCTTTCTATGTATAAAATAAAAAGGAAAACCTTTCCTTCATGAGATTTTTTGAAATAAGTCCAACGATACTTCACACTACGAATGGGAACGGATTTCAGTCGCAATCTAACCCTACCGCAGCTGTGGCCGCCCTCTTCTCGCAATGCTAACGTGGTAGCTGTGGCGGAATGTGGGGCTTACGGACTAATGTGTGGATTGCAGATTGGAGCAAGCTTCCAGAGCGTTTGTCGCGCACTTTCACGTATGCCGCAAAGGGGGTACGACATCAAGCCCGTCCGCCTGCCTACCGCGATCAGGGATGGAACAGGGAGCTCGCCTGATCCCGGAGCGTGCCTTTAAAACGCCGTCCAACTCCAACTGTTTTAGCGGAATGGGAGAGCAGGACGTTCACGTTTATGATGTCCCTGATGGTATTCGCTTGAACGCAATATCCAGCAGGGAGAGGGATCCCATTCTAACGAGTTTGAAACCATTTGCTGGTTTTTTTAATCTTTGCTTCATTGAATATTCATGTCCAGTGGTCGGTCACTGTACCGTAAGAATCATCTTGATTACTTGAGAATTACGATCCATCTTGTGCAATCATCTCTGTTGACGGCGCTAGTGCACTGTTACAACAGTGTGGGTGAGATGAGGCTTTTCCTACTCGTTTGCCCCTTTCATTGATTTTAGGAGAGGCGCTTCAGAGTAGGTAAGTTACTTATCTTGTGGTCTCAAAATACTTCAACGCTTACCCCACATTTAGTGCGTGACCATACTAGCGTCCTTTTTCTCTCCAAGCCCAGACCTAAGCGCAGTTTGATCAGAGAGGGGCGGCAGAATAGCAGAAAATAACACTTAATGATACTGGCGCTAAACGAAATGTCAAACCTGAAATAAGGGCATCAACTAAGCCGCCTTGTATGCATTTTTTGTCGTAGAAAATAAGGCTAGCCTAGAAACTGCGAAAATGTTGTCGCCCCATCCCCCGCTGGGGTGTTGTAGTGCAATAGTGCCCTGTTGACCTCTGCTTAGATGTGTAGATGTGTGATTTTGTAGATGTTGTAGGAGGGACCAGAGGCAATCGCAAGACAAGCCAAGATCAAAATACACATATATTTATTTATGTAATATAATAATACATTTATATATAATCCTACTTACTATATAGTGCCTCGTCTGTCGTTCTGTATGTCTGTCACGAAATTCCCTAGCTCCTCGGGATCCGCCTGGAGGGACCGGGTCAAGTGTGGGACGGGTGGGCAAGGTCTCGCTAAGTACGAAACACACATCGGCCCCACATAAGCGGAGCCCCGCGAGCCCCACATAAGCGGAGCCCCGCGAGTGGGCGTGGCGTGCGTTGACAGAAAGTGTACTGACGACCGAGGCTTCCAATTCTCTTAGAGACCGGCCTTGAAACTGGGCTAAAAAGTGGGTAAAGGTATGCATTGGTAAGTCACATCGAATTAGGGAGACCCACCTCCGGTGGGTGGGGCATTCTCCGAAAAAGCAGTTCTTTATGAAATATTTCATAACTCAGATGGGAGAAAGCCTACAGCGCAGAAAACAAATTGGTATAGGGGAACAATGCCTAAGGTGTTCCCTGCATGTGACGTTGTATGACGTTAGCGGTGGCCTGCCCACAATGGGTGGAGCGCGCTCCGAAGTGAACAGCATTTCCTACAAGTCCTCATAATTCGGGCCGGGGAAGTCTTAATGAGCCGAAAAGATGGAAAGAGGTGGGTGGAAGCAGGGTGAAAATAATGTCGAGGAAAACCCATCTCTGATACGACCCTCCCCCTAAACTGGGGGGTCTCGGTACGACCCCTTCCGCAAAGCGGAGTCTCGATACAACACTACTTCCCGCACACATCAAATGCCAACAAAACAGTGCTGAAGTACACTAACTGCTGTAAGAAAAGGAACTACGGCAAGAAAAGGATCCTGAAAAAATTTTCCTATTGTATGAGCACCGACTTTACAGGTACACACACGTTAAGGAAACTGAATAGGAACGGAGAATTCACCTCTTTGCGGCGACTACGGCGCTAAAACACCGATTTACACAAAGATCCTGAAAAAAAGAACTCTACTATTGTACGAGAACCGACTCTACACGAATACACACCGGAAAGAAAGATTGACAGCAATGAGAAAAAATGATAAATAGGACGTAACAGTGATAGAGTCACCGAATTTGAAGGAGCAGCTTTCCCTCACGCGGCTGCGGCGCGGCTCCCGCGCTGGAGCGATTTATCTCGAAAATTTGCCTCCTCCCCTTATGCTTCGAACCTTAATAACTTTTTCAAAACTTGATGTTTTAGAAAACGGCGGGAAAGCTTTGAAAGAACTTGGACTGCAGTTTTTTATTATTTTTGAACTTGCCCTAAAGATTCTCTATTCGGTGAGATTTTCCACGTCGAGTAAACGTCGAGGAACTCAAATTTGTCTTGCGTATTTTAGCTGTTTTCAAGACGATAACCTTTTTAATTCTCGATTGTTCGGAAATGTGTGGACACCTAAAGAAAGTAGAAGAATTGCTCTTTCGAATGGTCGCCTGATATGTTCCGAACACTTCCCACTTAAGGAGAAATCTGCGTCGAGAAAATGACGAGGAGTTTTTTCTTCACTCAAAAACCAGATTCATGCCACATCATTGCAAGACAAATTCAATGAAACCTCTCATAATGCGTCAGGAACGCATCGCTTCACCGTCGCTGGGATACGCTCGGCGCCGTTCAGCTTCAATCGAGTATGCGCCATGCCGTCGGTCTTCGCTCGTAAGTTTAAGTCAATTGAAAGGTTGTGTGCGCATGAAGACTTGCTAATAAAAACGGAAGTGTTCTCTGCGGTGACTAAACGTGAGAATTCTTCCAATCACGGTCCAGCCTCAGTTGCTTACACTTGTAATTTAGGGCGATAAATAGAAACTTGTAAATCTTTATGTCACGCACTCAATGACGGTTTATGGACTGAGTGGTGGAGGAGATGCCGATACAGTTCGAGATACAAAACATGATCGAGAGAACACTGAAGCCTCAATATTCTCCTCAGGAACTTTTAACACCTAGATTCACAGGGGACCTTTTATCTTTCAACAAAATGTGGTGTGTTTCAACAAAATGTCGTCTTTCTTTCTCGTCGTTTTACTTCATGCCTTTTGAGATGATCAGGTACATAACCAACAAGTTCCGGAGGCCGGGAAAAGGGAGTAGAGGTCGGCGAAGGAAAGGAGGTCAATTGCCACTGGTGGCCGAATTCGACGGAGTTTGCCATGCGATTTAATAGGATAATGGTTGACGGAGAAAAAGAGGTTGAAAGCCGTCGATGATGGAGCGGATAGAATTCAGCTGAGAATTAAGATATTCGTGGTGTATCAGGCCAAATTTGAAAATTTTCGCCGCACCGTCAAAGTTCGCCGCAGATCTGTGTTGTGCGCGCAATGCGTGCGGCGCCAACTGGTATACATAGTTCACAGAGTGTTTCTCCAAAGTTCGGTTAGATTGATGCTCACAGGAATTGGTCCCTAGATAGCTAGAAAATCTATGATTTTATGGAAGTTGTGTGGCTTTGAAACACCTTTTCCTGTGGCGCTCCGTCCTTCAGTGGCTGGATGAAGCACGGCATGCTCCTAGGCTAACTCTGCGACGCAGCCGACGTCTCTTAAAGATCAGGACCTTAGGCTTAATAATCTAATGCTTATCTACTTGTTGACCAACCAGAAACAATAACAGGGGGTCCTACCAGGGCTTCTAGGAAGGAGGGGGGGGGGTCGCAAAAATCTTGAAAAGGTGAGAATGCAATGGTTGACCCTGCCCCCCTCCCCCCACCTCTGTTTAACCTCTATTTAATTACCTTGCAACTCTCATACAGAGCCAAAATTACAGCGTCTACACATAAGGATACAATTTGAACCACTGTGCAAAGGTGCACCGCGGTGTCCGTTGAAGAGAAGGATCAATTTGGACACATGTTCTGTGTATCACCGGAGCACTACGGAAAAGGGAAGGAAAACCTCTGGTAGGAAAAGGAGCCAGAAATATAGACGAAAACTTCGTCAAATTCGAATAAAAATTGAAGAACGTGGCTCAATACACAGTGAATTCATTGAATGATTCCATATTCAGGCATTCTTAAATTTCAGCGACTTCAGAAGAGCTCAAGCAATGTATTGTATTGCTGATGTATTTTTTAACATATAGTTGACTGGTCTGATGCATAAGCTTTTTGCAATGATTTAGAATTTTTTACCTGGAATTTGGTCATACTCGAGAATTTCCTGTAGAACGATTTTTTTTCAGTCTTAGCCTTTCCTACTGCCCCAAACTAAGACGCTCGTTCAGCGCAAAAAGCTTGCCTTCTAAACAAAACGAAATCTGAATCCTGATTTGATTATGCAGAAAAAAAGTTACAGTCAAAAAATTGCACTGAAGACTTTTGGCCGCTGCTGTATGTTTGGATTCCACTAATGACACGAAGCCTTCGTGAAAAATGAGGCCTTTTGATAAAGAATGTTACAGAAGACTGTATGACAATTGGTTGTGAAAATTGTGACAATTTATCTGAACGATGTGAGATTGACTTCCGAATAGTAAGGGGAGGCTCTTGTGTGCGTGTGTTGGAAGAATACTGTCGGAAATTATCGGCGATAAATCAAGTACCCAGTCACTAATGACATCAAAGGGACAAATAGAAATATTCAGAAACTGTCATGAACCAATTCGAGTGAGTGCGCTGAACACATTTCTTGCAAAATCAATTGATAGATTATCTAAATTTTCTGTGCATTTGAATGGTGCTGTTAATGAATGTGCTACTAGAATTAAGTCGATGTTGGAGGCAGGGTCCAACAGTTGTAGGCCAGAGAGCCATTTTTCCGGCGCTAATCGCATCAGGTTGAAACCAGTGAATTTCATAGAAGAGCTACTACAAGAAAGCATTCAGCCATGCTTATGGTTTACTTTTTGAGTTTTCTTGTTTGAGCAAAAAAGAAAACCTTCATGGGATTACCTTGCTGCTTTTTGCGTCAATTATGGTCTTATAAATTTACAGTTCCTAATTTACAAGTTGGGCTGTGGTAGACCCACATCTATTCCCTTCATTAGCTCGTCTTCGTTCTTCCACATGATGACAGTTGAGAAACTCGAGTAGCAGGTACATAAAATTTCTGCTGTGCACAGAACGCTATATCTGTTCGTGTGTGTCACGAGATTTAACACATTGACGACATTGAGATACGCTAACGCGTCTCACTTTGCGCACCTCGTTGGACACTGAGACGCGTCACCGCGTCTCACCCTATCATCCCTTTTTCTAGGCGTGCGCAGCTTTTCCTGAATTGTTTGTCTCTCTTCTATGGATTAGAAAAGACATTATCGTGAACGACATAGGTCATTGTTTGTTCAAGTATGCTCAGTTTAGAAGAAGTTTTCCAAGCTCACCGAAACCGCGCTGTTGTAATAGTTTTCATGCTATTCTCATGAACACGTCAATAAAAAAGGGTAGTGAAAGTAAATGCAAATCTAATGAGACAGAAAAATACATGCTTCACTTGGTATAAACCACATCAAAAGAGCTTTTGGCCATCCACTACAGATAAAATGACTGAAATTTCCTTTTCATTACCATTACATGTTCTTTAATCGGAACTTCGTCACTATATACTCTATTACCTCCTACACATTGACTGTTACTGAGATGTTTTTGTACCACTGGTACTTTGAAAAGTTATTAATAAAAATTCACGGACCCGAGGTGCGGCGGTCGCACTCGCAAATCGGCCCGGTCCCACACGCGCAGAAAAGCCAAAACGCGCGCGCGGTCGTCAATGTAAAAACACGCGTCGTGCCAAAACGCTTGAACTTTCGCTGCATAGGTTCGTTGTAAAGGGGGCTCCAGGGACAAAGTTAGTATATAGCAGAAAGTGACCCCCCCCCAAGCTAATGAGGTAGGAATGTGAGCGCAATCACTTGCGTTACACTCTACGGTGACAGTGGAAATTGATTTCAGTTTTCTGAGATGTGATAGGTCGGAGAGGTGCGTGGATTTTGAACGGCATAAAATGATAACATGTGATAACGGCTGGTAAGTATCGTGCATCTGTCGTGACCTATCATTTCTCGGATTGTCTAGTATACCAAAGCCTACCGTGTGAATGCAGTAGCGTGCGGAGCTAAATTAATCGCATACATTTTCCTTCTATGGGGCTGTCAGCAGGTACTTCAACAGCGCACAAGTCACAATTGGCTTATAACATTTATCTGATGTTATATAATTCATAATTCTTCCTCTTGCAAAGCTTCTTCTCGTTGTCACACTCATATCCACAGGGACACAAAGAGCATGGTGTACCCATGATATAAAGAGGCCATCCCGTCTTGACGTGACTGCAAGAAGCCGTGGTAAATTTGCCACCGAGTTGAAAGGTTGCTAACTCACGGTCTCCCATAAAGACACAAAACCGCATAGTATTTATGAGTAGCATTGAATTTTTTGTCCACATAGCATAGATCCACTGCACAGCCGACAGTTTCTGTTCTAGAGTTGGCCATCTGGAAATAAGTAAAAAAACTGAAAGAAGAAAGGTTGAGCTTTGTCTATTCCGCTTGAAATACTTCAGATTTTCGTAGAAAATCGCTTAGATATTCGAATTGAATTTGTTACTTTGAACACGAGATGTAAATTGCCGTCTACTCCTGAAGCAAGCACCACAGAAGTCAATGACCGTCTTTTTCGCTTTCTGTTTGATTAATATACCAGACCGGTCCCACGTCAACCGTCAGGACATTATTCTCTGCTTAAGCTTTAGTTCTTCCGCTGTGATCCCTTCAAATTGTGACACCAACACCTTGTGCGGGAAGGCACCATGTAGAATGAGACTAACCAGGAAAGGCATTCATCTTCCCATGCAACTTTGAGGTGAGATCCAGATATATCGATAAAGCTTCAAACGCTGATTACAAATATGGAAACTAAAACTGCAAAATGAACCTGCCAAGGAAGTTGGGAGCAGTCGAAGTGGGCTGGAAGTAAAGCATTACACTAGCTTCCTGGCTCTCAAAGTCGCCATGGAGTAGAGGTAGTGCTCTCGGAATTTGCACTCCGACGGTAGGAGAGCTTGTGACCTCCATGGTGAAGAGCGGGGGCACCACCACTACTCTGCGGCGACTTTGAAACCCGGAGGCTAGTGTAATGCTTTACTTCCAGCCAACTTTGACTGCTCTCAACTTCTTTGGCAGGTTCACTTTGCAATTTTAGTTTCCATATTTGTGATCAGCGTTTGAAGCTCTATCGATAAATCTGAGTCACACCTCAAAGTTCCATGGGAAGTTGAATGCATTTCCTGGTTGGTAGAAGGGAAAGGGTGAGAAAATCTTCTCTTCTCACCTCCTCTCCCTTCTCCTTTATTACCCCCTCCCTTCCAACCCCCACCTTCTCCAGCTGCCACTGCAGCACCAGGTAGAATGAGACTGTGTGCTCGATCGATGTTTATATAGCCACTGTGGGTGTTATCATAATCGTAACATCAGCATCACGAGTGTAGCCCTGCGAAGTTCCCGGTTTTGTAGCGGTTGGTCTGGACGGACAGAACGACACACACACGCCGACAAACCGATCCACCAAAGTTGTGGTTTATAAAATGAAGTGCTTTGCAGGAAGCGATTACGGTAAGGAAGGGCCGCATCGGGAGAGCTTATGTGCTACACGAAGCAGTTTCTTGGCTGCCTAGAGAGCGAAGTTTTGCGCTTTCAGGAAGAGTTGCACTGGTTGCTGAGCAGGACTAACGGAACACTTCGTCTCAAAAGCGTCACGCCCACTGGTTCAGTTTCTGACTTGGGCAAGCTGGTTGCTGTTGGCGTTTCATTCTGAGGATCGTTTCTCTTTCAGCGGCTGTGTCTTCCTGCTTACCTTTGTAATGCCATATCAAGCGAAACGCCACAGTTATACGCAAGATGGATGCTATCGGGCTTAACAAGTATGAACAACTTCCGTCTTTGTCGCCGCTCAATCAGGTCAAAAATGAGCGGGCAATCAAGGGGGTACTAATTTGCGTATTTTCGACCGATTTCTCTGCTTTTTTGCCATTAGCCTACCATTGGGCACACGACGTCAACTCTAAACTCTTCTTAAACCTACCGTAATCGCTACCTTGAGGAGAAACACCAACAGCAGTGTGTGATTTGAAAAAAAGCACTGGTAAAGATAAATGTAAGTTAGGTCTATGAATAACATTAGGTGAACACACGAACATAATAGACCGACGTTGTTTGTAATATGCATCAACTTCATTGAATGTTCTGGGGTTGTGGAAAATCACTACGAATTTTGGTGTTGACCTCTGAATTTGGCATGCAATTATATGGCGCCTTCTTCCAGAT